GGCTGTAACAAAAGACAGCCCTCAGGACCGCAAGCACAGCAACAGCAAGGCCACCCCTGCTCCTGGGCCAGCACGTCCATCGGAGGGAATACAGTCCCGGCCATGGCATCATTTCCGGAGAGGACTTAGAAATCGAGTTGAGTTACAGTAAAAAAACTCATTATATTCATAACGGACTAAGCACGAAAGTTAGGCATCAACGTGATGTCCAAGGTTCTAAGATTCGATCTCTGACTCTAAAGCTATACAGAGGGGTTTCTATTTCTGTTTTCGCCCTTGGAGCTTTGAAAATGGATTAGACACTGAAGACTTCAGTAAGTAAAGAGAGGTCATAGAAAGAAGAGTGATGTTACAGTGTCAGAGGCTACTGCCTCCCCTGCGAGGCCGGAACGGCCCCGTGCAGCTCAAAGAAGACAGAGCACAGTCCACTTTCCACAGTTCTGTACGATACCCCTGAGATCTCAGAGGCAGACCTGATTATAGCGGGTGGACAGTGAACATTTCACCAATAATCTGATTTACCTGATTTTACATGGAGACAAATCATTCCGTGTAAAAATTCTAATATAAATTCTACCGATTGGCTCATTGAAAGTAATAAGGGATTACTCACAATATTGATTAATATTAAATTGCCAATTAAGATAACTGAAGTATTAATTGCCATATTAATAGTAAGTGATAAGTCCTACAGAAATCCCCTCAAGAGGCTCATGTGTGGTGACTAAGATTGCATAAGCACGACTTCTAAAGGTTTTTCTATAAATTTTCCAGGACACACATTTTCCCAGTTATTTAAGCCTTTATTTCATTTTTACATTTCAGCCTTATGGAAAAACACACGATATGTCCCCATTTGCTCACTTTACTCTTTCTGTCCTACTCTTCTTCCCTAACTTATCTATACATTTAGGTTTCTAAAAGATACTTTTCACTTATACAGCTAAATGCATGCATTGGGTTATTTTTTAACTTGCAAACATGCAAACACCTGAAATTTTGCAAAGGAAATGGATGCAATAGACATACAGACACACAAACAAAGAACACCCCAGTATGTCCCATCTTAGAAACAAAAAGTGCCCCATAAAACAGCACAATACAGCAAAGCAAGCCCGCACAGCACACACTTGAATTGCTACCAGCTGCCCGCAAAGCCGCACTGGTGTTTGCAAGTCTTACTTTGGGGCTGGGTGGGTTAGAAACAGGTGAGTTTGCGCATGTGCTGTCAAGAGGCCTTTAATCGCCATGGCAACAAAACAAAAATCCAGCAAGCCAGTCCCAGCACAGAGACGCCCCCGGAAGCTTGACCGCCCCTCACCTGCTCCCCTTCTCTCCTCTCTCCCCAGAAGAAGGCACTTCACGGAAGCGTCTGGGAAAGCCCTTCGACTTTACTTTGTTACACCCTCTAAATGGACAAAAAAAGAGAACAGGTGTAGAAGACAGCATTTTCAATTGACCACCAAGAGTTCCAACAAATGCCCTCCCGCCTTCTAACACGGGCACCCCCTCCTCAGGCCTCCTGTCTACAGAAAGCATACACAAAGCGGGCTGGTTTTATTTCCGTTTTTTTATGCTGAGGTAAGGAACACGAAATGGGAGCTTTGCTCTTAAAAGGCCATCTTCACATGTTAGAAACCTGCCCCCCTTTCCCAGTGTTAACAGAAGGTTAGAACATCACAAACCAATAATGCCCTTTCTAACTCGTATACCTGTCTTTCCACCTCAGACATGCTGTCTTGGCAAACGGGACGGCGTAAAACACCCCGGGAACGAGCAGGACGCAGCAGGCATCCAGTGGGTACCTTCTGACCTCCCTGCTGGCACCGATTTCCCTGGATTTGATGGCTTTTCCCCAGGCAGCCCTCTCCCTGCGGGACAGTCTTTCCTGACTCCCAACACTGACTGGAAGGCCTGGGCGCGGCACTCAGGGGAGGGGGAAGCAGCTGCTACCTCGTCCCGATGATGCACTGACCGTAGCCCGAGACCTGGCTCTAGCGCTGGAGAGATGCCCCTTTGTCGCAAGAACACTGGAAAGCACTTCTTTCACTTTATTTGAACCCCTAACCACCTGGGCTCTCGGATGTCACACGGATGTCATTCCTATGATTTCTAAACTCCGTCCCGAGACCAGCCAAGACAAACTGGGGTTTCCGGAGGTTCTCTTTTTGGGCAGCTCCGATGAGTCCCAGGCAACTCTGAGTTCAGGTGTGAATTCCAAAGAACACTGCTAACTTCTGATGGACTTCATGGCTTTTTACTTCCGGAATGAGGCTCCTCTGATTCTCAAGTGTTGGGGGTTTATGCTCCCTTAATACAAGCGTTCCTCTATTTTGATAATTATTAGGCTCCGTATTGGATAAGGGTGCTTGGCAAAGGAACCAAAGTTGGGGAAAATCAAAACTTGGGACTCTGATGAATGGTGTGTGTGTGTGTGTGTGTGTGTGTGTGTAATTCGGAACTTCTTGTCTCCCTCTACTGAGCACATTCTGGAACGACAGCTGTCCCCAAACACCAGGACCCTACTCCGTGCGGCTACAAACACTAATCTGAAGAAATCACGAGTGTGTTGGAGTGTTTTTGCAAATTTCCATAAAAACTTGAAATTTGCAGCTTCCTAAAATGTTTAGACTTCTTCGCAACCCTTAGCCTCCTCCGAATCCTGCCAGACTCGCTGTTGCGGGAGTTTGGAGCCGCGCCGGCATCTCCGCAGTTTCCCTCACACACAATCACAGGCTCAAAACTCCCACCGGCAACTGACAACACTTCCCTGCGAAGCAAATGCCAGCAAACTGACAACTAATACCTCGAACAATCGCGGGGGCTACCTGAGCAAACCGACCACAGACGCCGGCAGTGCTGGGAGAGAGGACGTTTCATTCCGAGAAATCCCAGGAAAGGTGCTGGTGATGTGCGTCGGGCGAGCACACACGGGTTTGCCCCTCCGGGAACGCGAGCTAGGTTTCAAAACATGCCCATCCACGTCTCCTTCCCAGAATCAGTCCGTCTTTCAAACATCACGAGGAGGTTTAAGTGGAAACCTTTGCAGCGACTCTCTCCCTGCTTTTGTCTAATGACCACGTGTTAGCGGCTCCAAGAGCTGTGACTGTATCTCAGGGCCAAGGCGGCAGCAGGGGGCCGGTTACTATAACAACAGACAGTTCTCTTGAAAACTGAACAACTCCCCCCCCCCACCCCCCCAAGTAGGCATTTGCGAGAAAAGTATTTGAGCAAAAATTGCCGGATCGGCGGCTTGAGCTGCCACGTGGCCCGGATCGCAAGGGTGGCTGAGGGAGAAAGGAGGAAGAGGTGCCCACCTCAGGCGCAGCCGGGGAAACCAAGGCTCCACCCCCAAGCCTCTCAGTGTCTCAGAAGAAGGCAGTGTATCTGCCGTCATGCTGAACTCAAAGCCCAGGCAAGCCAGGCTCTGCCATCATGAAATGCACCTGAACTCTCCCCACGGGCTTCACACATTGTCAGGTTTGGGAGAGCTGGATTGCAAAAATTACTCCCAACCCTAGCTGGTTTAACTCAAGTGGATAGAGTGGCAATCTGTGGACTGAAAGGTCCTGTGTTTGATTCCGGTCAAAGGCACATGCCCTGGTTGTGAGCTTGATTCCCAGTGTGAGGTATACAGGGGCAGCCCGATCCATGATTCTCTCTCAACATTTGATGTTTCCATCTCTCTCCCTCTCCCTCTCTCTGGAAGTCAATAGAGATATATTTTAAAAAAATATACTCCTAAGGATTAATAAATTTACTGAATTATGGGCCACATTATAGGGGTTCATAAAGAGAAATGTCAGTCCCTCACCGGCCTCTAAAAAAAAAACGGTGCCGGAATACCTGTGGTTCTTGACAGTTTGTTTGCGAAAAAAGATAAAGGTAATCACCACAAACCCCAGAAAATGTGAGCCCTGAAGCTTGGACTTTTCTA